ACAAATATTTGTATTTGATGATTTTGGGTTACAATCTCTCTCTATTTTGATCCTCTGATTCGATCTCTGTAAGGTGTGTATTTGTGGATGTGTGATTGATCCAAAAGGCCGTTGGGCTTGATCTAAGGATGAACGTTCTTCAAGGGTCGTGGACTTGATCTTGAAGGTGGATTTGAGCGGATCTTCAAAGGGGCTTTTGGGCTTGATCTTTGAAGAACAGTGACGAACGGATCTCCAAGGGCTTTTGGGCTTGATCTTGAAGAACAGTGATGAACGGATCTTCAAGGGCTTTTGGGCTTGATCTTGAAGAACGGTTGGATGTGTGGATTTGTCGACGTTGTTGATCCAAAGGGCCGTTGGGGCTTGATCTTGGAAGAACGATGAACGAAGAACACTTTCTTCAAGGGCCGTCGGAGCTTGATCTTGAATTGGTGGATGTTCTTCAAGGGCCTTTGGGGCTTGATCTTGAATTGGTGGATTGTTGATCCAAGGGCCGTCGGGGCTTGATCTTGGAAGAATGATGAACGAAGAACGAAGAACGCTTTCTTCAAGGGCCGTCGGGGCTGGATCTTGAATTGGTGGTTGTTAATCCAAGGGCCGTCGGGGCTTGATCTTGGAAGAACGATGAACAAAGAACGAAGAACGTTTTCTTGATTCTTCGAGAACCTGGATGCTTGAAAGCTTCGGAGTTTCAGAGCTTCAGAGCTTCAAGAATTTTGCCTAATGATTTTGGTTTCCCCAAATGAATGAATTAGCCTTCTATTTATAGAAATTTCCAAGGCCTAATTTTGAATATAATATTCCAGATGAAATAAGTCGTTTTTCTACCAGGTGTTGACACGTGTCCTGTTTGATGACTTTTCCAACTTATTTCGATTTTTTGTTTAGACACACGCTACGTGTAAAATTTTATGTAATACATGAGCGTTGACACTTTGATTTATCGGTCAACATTTATTTACCGAATTTTTGATGTCTACATATACATAAAGAAAATATAATAATTTTTTAAACACGCTTTAAATATTAAGTAACAGCGGTGATTTTACAACACCAAATTTATATGATTTAAGCCTAATATGACATTCATTTTGGATTATGTTAATTATACTCACATTAATAATAAGAAAGTAATTAATCCCAACCTAACTTGCCTAAGAATAGTTTGGGTGGGTTGGTTTGCCAATTTTCTTGGGTGAAAATAGGTTCAACTTGACCTTATTGGGTTGGCTAAGGGTGATTTATAGCCTGACCAACCCACCCAATGCCCACCCTTGACAAACATGAGTGAAATTCTAGTCATATCCTTTTTAGGGCTGGAATTTTTTTACCCAAAAACCAAAACACAGATGTATGTACGGTTTACTGCCTAGGCCATGTATTGAAATAATATTGGTTACTTGAGCTAAGTCACATGATAGGTCATTTATAATAATTTGGTATAAAAAATATAAAAACACAAACTCATCATTATGAAAATTAAACTTAAAACTTTTCATCTACAAGTAAACAGAAATATCACATTTATTACTGGACAAGTATAAGTGGGTTTCCCACTAAGAAAAAAATCGCCTACAAGAGAAGATTTACGTTTAGTACGGATATGATTCCATTAGAGGATTGCGCTTGAGCTTCGAACAAAAGATGATTACACTTGTGAATGAAATAAATAATCAAATCTCTACTCTAGGAGATAGTTATGTGTTGTCAGTATCACTAATTAGCACTTCAAAAAATTTATTGTGCACTCCAAACTTTCTATAATTAGAAAGAAAAATACACTTATGAGAAGTGTAGAATGAGATTTTTAGAGTGTTAATAACATTTCCCTTCTTTAAAAATATTTTCAGTTATTTTAAAAGCACTTTCAAACAAACCTTATATTGTACTATACTATACTCTACTCTATATACCGTAATATATTGTACCGTAATATATTGTACCAAACAACACTATGCTATACTATACTATACTATATTGTACTGTATGCACTAGTACTTAGTACGCACATATGTACAAGATTTTGCTTCTGAATCATAAACTCCCCAACTGCATTCACTTGTTATGTTTATTAGGCCATCTCCAACCGAAAAGAGCCATGTTGAGCTTCCGTCCAGATTATAACCCTGTAAGAAATTATTTTTTAATGAACAATGTCAAACCATAATTATATATCATCTCCAACCGAGAGAGCCAAATGGTCATAGGCAAAAACATAATCAGTTTGACAAAAAACTCATCTCCAACCGAAAGGGGCTATTTTTTAGCCCCTAAATAATTTATTATTTTAACTGAATTAAACTACCATATTAAATCAAAAAATATATATTATACTAAAAGATAAGAATGTAGAATGGGTAAATACGTTTTATATTAAAAGACTAACATTTGCCTATACATTTTGTGTGTATGAACATATTTTTTTAGGAAATGAGAATAAGAGAGAGAGAGATAGAGAGAGAGAGAGAGAGAGAAAACGTGGAGGAAGTGAGAGGTTTTTTTTTTGTTTTTCCTTAAATTTTAAATATTAGAGATATTTAACATCACCTGTAGGGGAATCTTCAATAAAAAACAGTAAAATTTGGACCTATGAAATAATATTATTGCCTATCATTTTTTTTGTGTGATAAAAGATTAAGTTGTCTTTTCACTCTTTTTTAATTGACAAAGAAGATTTCATTAATTAATAGAAATAAGAAGAAATTAAATAAATTAATCGAAAAAAAATATTGAAAGAAAAGAGAAGGATGGACCTCCTCCAAATGCGGATTACAAATAAAATTTCCTAGAATTAAAAACAAATAAAATAGTAGTACCTCATAAAAGTTGTACTAGATTTCGTGGAGGTAAGCAAGTCAGCGTACTGCAATTTCGGCATGCTGACGCAACCTAAACCAAAGCGGGACCCACAGTACCAACAACGCCAAGGTAGCGTTTGGTACGTAGACGGGACGAAACGGTATGTGACGGGATGGGACGGGACAGGACGGAACGGAACAAAGATTCATGTCATGTTTGGTACTGACAAGATAGAACAGAACGAAACTGGATTAAATGACTAACTTACCGTTTTTATTTGACTATCTCTCTCCCGTTTCTCTGCTTTCTCTTCTTCCATTTGACTCTCTCTCTCGCGCATGCTCAGATCTCCCAGTAAAAATCAAACCCAGTAAATCAAACCCATACTTTCTCTTCATTTCATTATCTTTCTCTTCAATTCCAGTAAATCAAATTATTTTTCCCCAATTTAAAACCAACGATATGAAAAGGCTAAGGGAGATGAGTGTGGACCGAGCTACATCAAACTATGATTTCCTTGCACTTCGCAAAAGCCGCGTCGTTCCGGCCAGCGCAAACGCCGAGTTTTTTCCTAGAAGGAAGTGCGTTTCGGTCTGTTTCGCCGGTATATTTCGACGGATTCATCTCCGACTCAGCCCGGAAAGCCTGAAATCGAGCTCGAATTCATCTGGGTTGCTGGGTAACGAAGCATTTGGGTTGCTAGGTTTGTGGTGGAGGAGGAGGCTACAGGAGAAAGGGAGGGTAACGAAGCTACGAGAGAGGGAGGCTGCGGGAGAGATAGGGAGGGTAGACAGTGGAATTTTTGTGTTCCACATACGTGGAATAACCCGTTCTCGGAGGGGGGAGGCGGGACGCAAAAACACCCAATTTCTGTCTCGTCCCGTCCCAGGTACTAAATGCAACCCAAGTGAACTGGGCTACCCAAATCGGGTTGGCTGGCTGGCTTCCTTAGGCCAGTCCGCTGACCTTGTGGCTGGTTTATGGCCTGGTAGGGGGCCCATAAGCCTTTTGGCTGATCATCAGTTGAAGACGGTTTTCGTGTCATAAGGCTATATTTTGGCCTACAACCCTTTAGTAGAGTCAGTTGGAGATGACTTTAGCACCGATCAAGGCTCTCATTTGCCCTATTCTTTCCGAATATAGTGCTATATGATCATGTATGCTATCAAAAAGTTGAAAATTCTTATTACTAAAGATCGAATTTGATAATATCCTTCATGCATTTGATGATGTGCTTGATTGGCTCATTCAGCTCTCGTATCCAGATTATGGTAGATGAACATCACCTGCACCACTACAACAACAAAGCCTTATCCCACTAAGTAAATTCGACTGTATGAATCCTAGAACACAAAGCCTTATCCCACTAAGGGGCCGAGTGTATGAATCCTAGGACACAAAGCCTTATCCCACTAAGTGGGTCGACTATATAAATCATAGAACGTCATTGTGCTCGGTTTTGTGCCAAGTCTTCCGTTAGATCCAAGTACTCTAAGTCTTTTGTTAGAGTCTCTTTCCAAGTCTTCCTAGGTCTTCCTCTACCTCTTTGCCTTGAGCCTCTGTCTCGTAATCGCATCTTCTAACTTGAGCATTTTTAGGTTTTCATTTCACATGTCTAAACAACCTTAACCGATTTTCTCTCATCTTATCTTCAATTGCAGCTACTCCTACTTTACCTCAGATATCCTCGTTCCTAATCCTATCCTTTCTCATGTGCCCTTACATCCAACAAAACATTTTTATCTCTGCTACACTAATTTTGTATATGTGTTGATGCTTGACCGCTCAACATTCTGTGTCATAAAGCATTGTTGGCCTTATTGTCATCCTATAAAATTTTCCTTTCAGGTTTAATGGCATACAATGGTCACTTAACACATCTAATGCATTCTTCCACTTCATCAGCTTGTATTGTATAGTTGATGTCTCCATCAAATTCTCTGTTATTTTGCAAGATAGATCCAAGATAATGAAAGCATTCACTCTTTGGTACTTTCTTATTTCTAATCCTTAACCCAAGCGCAGCGACGTTCTAGAATTCAAATAGCCAATTCCACTTAGTGGGATAAGGCTTTGTTGTTGTTGTGTTTCATCACTAAATGAATTTGTTAAACAGTCAGAAAACTCCCTCTCCAAAGCACATCTGCTCTCAATTTATTATCCATGAATTTTTGCCAAAACAAATATGAAAACATATGATGAATTCAAAGAATAAAAAATTTCAAGTTACATACATTACAACAAGAATCAAGATTTCAAGTTTGTTCAGCAACACAAGGGGCAAATAATCAACCCATTTTCGTTACACTCGGGGCACTTATCCGGCTGCCCCTCATCGGCAACGAGCTTGCAGCTCCCACTGCATCGGAAGCAAATCACAAACCGAACTCTATCACAAGCTTCACAGGGGCCAATGGACCGATCCATCGGCACTCCTTCAAAGAGCGGCTTGAGCTTTCCTTGCTCGTGAAGTGTCAAGACCTCCTCTGCTCCCCCGATATATCTCCCCTTTATGAAAAGATTTGGAGGCACTGCTTTGCAATCCAAAATCTTCCAAAGCTCTTGTCGGAATTCCATGTGCATTGACACATCTCGCTCGTAGAACACAACCCAAAAACTCTCTAAAAGAAATCGAACGCTGTTGCAATCGTCAAAAGTCTTTCGAATCCCCCGAAGGGTTGTAGTGTAGAGAACTACCGATGATTCCAAACTACCAGGCGGACACTTTTCTTCGAAGCCTAATAGAGGGTCTTTATTTGAGGGCGGCTCTTGCTCTGGCTCGGGATCTGGCGCTTCTACAAAATTGGATTCTATGTCTTCATTTGAAGTAAACCTCATATATTCCATCACCGCTTGCTGAAAGGCTAACAGTAGGTTCGGGTCGAAGAGGCTACCGGAGTTTAAGTCCGGTCTCCGGAAAGACGAGATGTCAATCTGCGACAAAGGGGTCTCTCTTCGATTTTCTGAAGCTTTAGAAGCTCTGTTTTCCTCCAAATTTGACTCTGTTTTAACCCAATTGTTGTTGCCCTCTACTCGGTGTTTCTCCTTCGTTTTAGGCCTAACGTTTTCCTTGTCGTTGATGTCGATATAATCGCCATCGGGCTCCGACTCTTCTTCATCATCCAGGTCTCTCATAAGCTCGGTGACATCGATAATGTCAGGCTCTAGCTCCGTCACATTCTTCTCTAACTGTTTGATCTTCTCCTGCTGCTCCGTTTCTTTTGAAATGAAATTATGGGTCTGAATGTTGAGATTTGAATCCGCATATCCATCCGATGCATTTACCTGAAGAACTCGATCTTGCGGTTTCAGGTACCCAATTCCAATCGGTCCGATTGACTTCAACTTCTTCATCAACTTCCCTTTCACCCCTTTCATTGATTCCAAAATTGAGCTCCGAAAATCTGAACCGGGCAACAGAATTTGAACACGGAAATAAAAAAAAAGGGGGGGGATCGTAAAGATTAGATAGAAAGGGGGAGAGCTAATAGTAAACGAAGCTGCTGCTTCTTTCACCGCCTTGACCTTGGTGGTGCTGCTGCGGCCAGAGCTTTCCAACTTCAACGGCTACAAAGTTGTTTTTGGAATTTTAAAATTCAAAAATGTGGGGAATGCTGGGAGATGCGGAACAAGATAAGTGTGTGGCTAACGGTCATAATTGGCTAGTGGTTTCTTTCTACATCTCTTTAGCTTTTTTTCACTTTTTTTTTTGTCTTCCTTTTTCTCTAAAGGACATTGATGGATGGTTGATTGAGAAGCTAGCTATAGTATTAATCATCAAGGTGTCGCTATCGTATTAATCATCGAGGTGTATCTTTTTGGGACAATGTCGGTCCTTCATAATTAATAAGTTGTTTATCTAATGATTATACTAGAACGTAATCTGTTTTGTTTCTAGCATAAGTGGCTCCCATGGGATTTTTGTCACGTTGTTTACCCGGGACGAGGTTTTCTCAGGGTCATGTTCTTTTCCATGCTGTGTGTGTTAGTTTCTTTGGTTCGCTATGAATGAAATCCTTCATGCTCTGTGTGTAAGTTTCTAGCATAAGTTGAAACCTTTTTCTAATATAATTTTCTAACCCAAAATTACAGTTAAATACTATATTCTTTAGGTAAGTTCAAGATTTTAAATTTGATACCAAATGATTATGAGTGACTCACCCCCACCCCAAAGCAAAAAAAAAAATTTAAAAAAAATAACATAAGTATATCATTGTATTAATAATTCTGAATCACCAGTTTAATTGAATCTATCTTGATGATCTTTGATCGGGGCCAATAAGACACTGATTGTAATTATAGATTATTTGGTAGGACTGCATGTGCAGTTGGGGATTTGAACTAGAGTTGTGTCAAAAATAAAATGTGATGCTACCTTTAATTTAACATTTATTTGGTAGAATAGACAAAAATGAGGTGAATTGAGAATAACTGAGACAAAAATGGTAGTTTAATGGAGGAAGGTGAGACAAAACTAATGTTAAGAGGTAAAGTAAGACTAAATGATAATTTTAATGGGTAAATCAATTTACAAGACTTTTTTTATAAAATAGTTTAACTTCTCACACATGCATGTACATGTTTCTATTAATAATTATGGTCATTACTTATTAATATGCCAAATCTCCCAGTTTTTTTTTATTCCAAAAAATAAAATAAAATACCACATCCTCCTTCTCTGTTAGACCATATTTAACCCTTGTGTCAAAACCTAAAGTTTTTCATCCAAAATATTTAAGTTTTAACCCATAAACAGTTTTTCTCCTCCAATCCATTTGAGTTAAATTTTTAGCCCGAGATTACTAAAAAATAAATTTAGGATAATTTTTTCGTTAAAGTAAATTTAAAAAAAAAATTATGTGGGCTATACTAATTTAATTTTAATGAACATTTTAATTAATTACACTAACACTCCATGAGGTTTATCGAGTTTTCACAAAGCACCCTCACGTTTGAATCATTACACTAACACCTCTCCAAGTTTTAATTCTCCTTCATGAAACCCCTTCAGTCGAAATTTTGCTAATAAATTGACAACTTTACATTTATAACTAATTAATTAAATAATAAAGAAATATATTTAAAAAATAAAATATTAAAAATAAATAAATTAAACATTAAAAAATAAATAAATAACTTAAAATATCGAAAAGGAAAAAGAGGAAATCTAAACCCTACACAATTCAACGACCCACCATTGCCACCTTCATCCCTTTCCTCTCTGCCCCACCCTCTCGGAAAAAATTGAGAGCTAACCTTTGTTTTGTGTATGAATGCACCGTACACAAGGTCCAGAACATAATGGAGCATTACCAGATTCACCATCACCATTTTTGAGAGAAACCTTGAAATTCAAACACCAAAATTTTCACCGAAGCTGGGTTTTTTTTTATCAAATTGTCAGAAACAGAGAAGAATCCAAAATCCAGAATGTTGGATAAAATATAATTTGTGAATTTTATCATCTGAACCCTATCTCTCACGGATGCCACAGCAGTGCAGAGTTTTCCGTAGTGACTGATAATAATTCTTCTTAATTATAGTAGTGGAATGATCAATGAAAGGCTATTTCTTTCTTGATAAATATATGGCTTATGCTTGATGGAGGAGTTCAAGGATCTGAGCAGCGAGCAGGCATGGGAATGATGGTGGTCCAAATTAGTCATAGAAAGAAAGAGAGGGAGAAGTTTTCAATTTACTTTTTAAATGTTTAATTTGTTTATTTTTAATATTTCCATCTTCCAATATTTTTTTTTAATATTATTTAATCAATTAGTTATAAGGGTATAGTTGTCGATTTATTAGCAGAATTTTGACTGAAGGGGTTATATGAAAGTGAATTAGAACTTGAGGGGTGTTAGTGTAATGTCTCAAATGTAATGAAATTTTGTGAAAACTCGATAAACCTCAGGGGCTATTAAGGTAATTAACTCCATTTTAAACTAAAAATATTTAGAATTCGATATAAATATTGAAAAATCACTAAACCAACATTACGAAACTCGTGTAACACTACAAAAAAAATATGAACTATAAAAAAAAAATTGAAACACATAAAATAATTTTTTTTATTACTTTAGCCATTAGATTTAAATTTGGACCGTTATATATTTTTATTTTTTTTACTGTTAGATTTGATCATATTATATCTTAGCTGTTGAATTTAATGAATTTATAAATATAAAACAAAAAAAAAAATAGACATATATGCTGAATCAGCCCCACTAACCCAAGAGGAATCCTGACTAAATTTGCCCCATAAATGAGTTTAGGATTAAAGCTTATATTTGTTCCTTGGAGTGGATAAGTTTAGAACTTAAAATTTGAGTTTTATTTCCAGGTTGGGATAAGTCTAGAGTCATCCTTATCGTTTCCATGAACATAACAAGATCATGGACATGCATCTGTAACTATTACCGTTGCTTTTCCATGAACGTACATTTATGGATTTCCTATGACTCCATAAATTAACATTAATTCATTTTAATTTATAGCAAATACTTTATTTCTGAATAACACTAGCAGGAAATTAAACCTTGTATATCTATGTGATGAATGAATGCAATGAAACTGTTAAATTTCCAAACATTATTTACTACTGAAATGGAAATATGAACGGAAAACCTAATCAGGCCTTGACTGGTCGTCTGCGAGTTATAAATACCGACGACTTTACCATCTTTATGTATAAAACCGTTATATATGTTAATATTCCAGTCTCTCCATTGCCCTTGCTAATTGCTTGCTACCCCTCTACCTAGCTATAAGTTATAACCGCAGAAATCTCTCTCTCTCTCTCTCTCTCTCTCTCTCTCTGTTTTCTTCAATGGCTGTGAAGAGTGAGCTTTCCATGGCATTAGTTGTGATGATGGCGGCGGCTGCGGTGGGTTTGGTTGTTCCTGAGTCACTTGGTTGCATACCGACTCCGAGTGGTGGTGTGAAATACCCAGTCGGAGACGACTTTTGGGCCATTCATCCAAACCCTGATTACTACACAAACTGGTCCTCTAACCATTTCTTCAAGATCGGTGACTCCCTCGGTAATCCTATTCCCCGTGTATACATATATAATACTCTGCCTCATATGCATTACTAAAAAGGGGCGAACACAAGCCAACGATGCTCCTCTCTTTGTGAGGATCGAAGAAAAGTTTATCGTACACAACTTTACCCTTATTTTACAAAGAGGCTATTTCTACAACTCAAACCCCTAACCTTTTGGTCACAAATGAGCAACCTTTCAGTTGTGTCAAGACTTGCCCTCCTCATATGCATTACTATATATATATATATATCTGTGCACATACACACTGCTAAATTTCTTTTTCCAAATGTGACAGTAATTTTCTCGTATATTTGTTAAGGCACGAGTGCATGTTGACTTTTTTGGAGTTTTAATCACAATTCCTTACTCTAAAATACCAAGTTCTTCATCCGCTGCGCGGTTATATTGTGGTAAATTGGCACACAAAAACTTATCATCATCAACTCCAAATAAATCTAATTCACAGTTTGACTATATACATAACATGAGATATAAAGAATTTACATGTCCTATATCAGATTGACTAAATTATATTGCTTTATTTTTGTATTTCCTTGAAGTTTTTGCATTCGAAACGGGGCGTTACAACGTCCTGCAAGTAACAAAGCAAGAGTATGAGAAGTGCACAGGTTACAAGCCACTGAAAGTGTTCAACACTGGTCCCGTGACTATTCCATTGGAAGAAAAGGGTGTGTTTTACTACATCTGCAACATCTCTACGTACTGTAGTCTTGGCCAGAAGATTTCTATTAAAGTTAACGAATGCCCTTGCCCACTACCAAGTCCACCTCCGTCTTCCCCGCCTCCTGCTTCTCCAACTCCTGTTCCTCCGTCTTCACCACCACTCATATCAACTCCTCCGCCATCTCCAAGCAGCCCTAACGGGTCCCAGCCTCCTTATGTGCAGGTTACAAGTCCAGCTCCGTCGCCAGTTGATAATGGTTCTCCTGAGGGTCCTTCAAACTCTGCTGCATTGATGCATAAGGGGTTGTTTGGTGTTGGTTTTGGGGTGCTACTCCTCGTTTTTGGGTGATCTAGGAAAATAATTTAACTAGATTTAAGTTGTTTTCTTAGGATAGCAGAGTTTATGTATTTAATTTCTTTCTAAACCTTAACCAGAATAATTTGACTGCTTTATTGATATTAGATTAGAGGATTGAAGATCCTGTTTGGAGTACTTGGATCCAAACATGGGCAGACAAGAATTTGGTTATGACATACATGGGTCTTTTACTCACTCAATCCTTTCAATAACATATAGCATTGCTTTTTATTGGTGGAACTGTTTGTACTATTTGGGAGATCCAATCGATTCTACGAAAGATCTATGATGTTTTGGAGTATCTACACTTTGAGAATTTTAATCGTTAAATCTTGATCATTGTACCTTTGTCCAAAGATATATCGGTTTAAAGTTTAAATCTACAAAGTATAAAATACCTCGGTGTATACTAAAACGTTTCTTGATTTTGACTACAATCCTAGTTGAGGTCATCAACTTTTGAAAGTTCTAACTTTCTTTGTTATAGTCCTTTTTTTTTAACATAAAAAATGGACCTCTCTCACGTACCATAAACTCTTGATAACATTCACTTTAAAGACAAAAATGTCTTTAACTGAAAGAAAAAAAACACTTCGACCTCAATACTTTACAAGAAAAATTAATTAGAGCTACAATTTATTTTATTGAGTAAATTGTAACAATAGTCCTTCCAACATAACTCATTTTGACAAAATTATAACGAAGTTGATGAAAATGACCATAGCTACACGTTCTGATGAGTTGAGGGATCAATGGTAATAAATTTTTAGTTGAGAGATCATTGCACCAATTTGATTAAAGTTAAAGGACCATTACTACAATTTACTCTATTTTATTAGTACAACACAAAAATAACAAGCACAACCACTCAACAAAAATTAAAGTGGAGTCAAACTGTAGAAACCTAAAATAAGCAATGGACCAAACTATTAAAAGTACGAATTTCATATCGGATAATCAAAAATCTCAATAGGTATTTATTAAAAGTTGAGTTATTCCTCGTATTAGTAATTTGTTTTATAGTGGAACAAGAACTTTATCGAGCTATATGGACAAAAAGATATGCACCAATAAAAATCGTGTCTATAGTTCCAAAATTGTATTGAACCATCCTACCAGCACTAGATGCATATGGGGTTCGTAAATAAAAGGATTTTAACTTCATACTTTGATATTGTCGATCCTAGTGACATGAGCTTGTAACTAAACAGAGCATTACGTAATCGGTTATTTAAGGTTATAGGTTATAAGCTCAAGCCGCACGGACCAAAGATATACCAGTCAGCTGAGGGACCTTGCTACACATAACCTCTTTCAAATTGATGCTATGTTACGGTGTGCAAATTCGCCATTTTAACAGCAGAACAAAAGCAGCAGAACAAATTCTTAGCATTCAACAACAGACCAACAGACCAAACCACGTTTAAGTAGAATAAGCATCTCCTTAACAGCTATTGTTCCGAAGAAGTTTCGGATTCACACACCAAACCAGAAATAAACACTGGGAAGCTAGACCAACAGACCACGGTGCCGATAACTTTTATTTTTCTCAAATAACTTCATAAAGCTTGCTTAATCTAATCATTGCTGAGCACATTGGACCCTTTGGGCACCACCATGCATGTCCTCATCCTCGTCATATGCCTCTTGCGCATGTGCTTGCTTTCGACGCATTTCCTCCTCTATGTTTACATCATGCAGCGTGGTCTCCTCACATTCATCCAACTCCATGTCGGTAAGTTGTGCCGAAGTCCTGGGGGGAAGGACAGCCTCCAGGGCCTTGCACTGTTCTGGGTTCAGTGAGTCGGGGAACTCCACTGTGAAATGAATATATAACTTACCCTTCATGAATGGCCTCTGGTACATTGGCATGCCCTCATCGTTTATAGCCTTGAATTGATCTGAGAGACACCGGTGAAGATAGAAACAAAATCAGGGGAACTACAAAAAAATCTGATGCAACATCCAACTATTACCATGAACAAAAAATTTCACACTACAAGCTAAAAAAAAAACTAATAGTCTAGTTTTCACTCCTGATACATTTCGTAATTGTGTACTGAATAACCTTATAGAAATTAACACCACCTTGTCAAATTACCAACACCTTATCAAATTATTAAGTAAACAAGTGAGAACTAAAAGAAAAATTTCCAACTCAAAATGGAGAATGAGAACTTGACTACACAAGCATGTTTGTTGTTCTAATGTCCAATCTTGTCCACGAGTATGAAGGAGTTAAATTACGACTTTGGGGACAAGTTGCAAATATCATTTGGTCCACAATAATTGCACAGCAGTAAGTAGAACACATGAGTCACTAGCTAGAGAGAGAGAGAGAGAGAGAGAGAGAGAGAGAGAGAGAGAGAGAGAGAGAGAGAGAGAGAGAGAGAGAGAGGTGCTATTATAGGAATAAAGGGAGATCGGGTAATATGATTTAAATTTGAAAGGCAAATATGTTATTCCCACCCACTCCGTTTTCTTATTCTCGATTAGATTTAAAACATATTACCTTCTCACTCCCATTATTCCTATAATAACCTTAATCCTTGTTATTTTTCTCTTTTCCAGAAAAATTGGTCATCTTTGAATGGCTGTGCACATATTGTCATCACATATTCATCAGTTGTGATGTTTGTTTTCTGTTCATGTATTTTTGGTTGTTTGTTCTCTCTTTGTGACATACCCAAACACTTACGCTGATACATGTATAAAACACCAATCAAAATAATCATCACAGGTTCAAGTGAATACCGACTACACATTTATTTGACCAACCCTAATAAAGGTAGTATAGGAAAAAAAACCAAGAGCCAATAAGACAGTGACTCATAACATCAAGAATTAACCAAATCACAAGTACAGGGCAACTATTCAGAATGAATACAGTAATGAAGAAACTTACCAGGCTTTACAACTTCTCCAGGATGAGATTTAATGAGGAGTTGTCTTCCATCCAAATGCGTTAATATGAATTGAAAGCCACAGAGTGATTCCATAAGTGACAATGTATGTTCAAAGAAAAGGTCATCACCCTTTCTCTTAAACTTAGGGTGCTCTTTTTGTTGTAGGACAAAAACAATATCACCTGTAACGGTGTCCGGCTGTAGAATGAAATAAAACAAAGAGAAAATAGCATGGATCAATAGATATACCAAAGATAACTGACATACAGACGTACTGAACAACCGAACATCCAAAGTTCAAAATGAAAGTACACCTACCGCTTCATCAGCTTCACCAGGGAATGTTATCCTCTGCCCATTTTGCATGCCCTTCTCTACAATTACTTCCAAGACTTTCTTTTCCTGAACAACCTTCTCACCCTTACATTGTGTGCAGCGATCCTTGTCATTAATGCTCTCGCCAGTACCCTTGCACTCATTGCAAGGATGTTGCATTTGCTGGATCATCGAGGGGCCAAGATGTCTAATAGACACTTTCATTCCAGAACCTTGGCAGCCAGGACATGTCATTGAAGCACCTGACTTCGACCCTTTACTGAATCATGTCAAATACCAACCCCATATCAGAACCATAGAGCACAAAAGTAAATTTCGGATAACATTCAACTTATATATTAAACACTAACCCCTTGCACTTGGAGCAGATTTTGTTGCGAGAGAGAGAAAGCTTTTTGGATGTCCCATTGTAGAGATCTTCCAAAGAAACCTTAAGGGGATGGATTACATCCTCTCCCCTTCTCTGCCTTCGGCCTCTGCTGCTTCCACCACCTGAGAACATAGCATCAAAACACTCAATTCCAAATTACACAAAGTACAAAGGTACAAACACAAGGAGCTCAGATCCAAACAGGGAAAATGCCTTACCACCGAATGGGTTTCCACCAAAGAAGGATTGGAAAATATCAAATGGGTCATGGCCGCCACCTCCGCCACCCATTCCTTCCTTGAGGGCATCCTCGCCATATTGGTCATAGATCTCACGTTTCTCCGGATCACTTAGAACCTCGTATGCTTGAGCCAACTCCTTAAACTAAATTACAAACCGGAATGGAAACGGTTAGAAAATCAACATAATAAGAAACTACCATTAAACTTTGCTTATTGACAATGAAATTCTAGCACAAGCAATCCTTGGCTCGAGGTTAAACTTGGTGCCCAAGTGTCAGAAGACAAACATATAATTGGATTGAAGAAACCAATGTTCACAAGTAAACAGCTTTATGTGACACCTCTTAGTCATAAGGAACGATTCAGATGAATTATAAATTTCAATAATTTAACAATTCCAACTGCAGCAAACAACAATTCCTATAAAACCCAGAAATCCCCAACATTCCAAAGCATAAAAATAATTAAAAAAAATTAAGAAAAATATATGCCAGATGTTTATCAAGGGAATCATAGATTTGAACAATCAAGAAGCTGATTAATAAAAAAATAAAACAAGAAAATATTATCAGAGAAAAAGAAAGTAAAACCTTTTCGGGATCGCCGCCCTTATCAGGGTGGTTCTTGATGGCGGCTTTTCTGTAAGCCTTCTTCAGATCGTCCTGCGAAGCGGTCTTTGAAACTCCAAGGATCTCATAGTACTTGCTGTTATCGCTTTTCTTTGGAGCTCTCCCAAACATTCTCACTTATTCCCCTTAATCTGTTAAATAATTAAGAATTAATTATAAAAAAACACCATTAAAATTTCAAAAAATTAATAAGAAAAAACCCAAATCCCAGAACTCGATTCTGAAATTGATGCAGAGAAATACAGAGAGCATACCGATTTTGAGATTCGATTAATTGGAGATATGTTGTCAGAGGGAGCAGAGAAGAACGAGAGACGGCGAGGGAGAAAGAGGAGTGTGGGTTTTGCCGGATCGGTATATTAAAGCGTGGGAATGGACGGCTGCGATTGATTGCCAGCAGGGTGGTAGCTAAGGGTTAGTATTGACATTTACATGCAAATACATGTGTGGATATGCGAGCAAGGAAGGATCTAGAATTTGTTTTTTTTCCTCTCTTGGTCTACCATAT